TCTAGATAGAACAAATTTGTCCTGCAATATCAAGGCAAATTGAAGAGGATGATGTCAGCATTGTACCTAATAAAGTTTTAATTATATCAGAATGTGCAACTCATGTGGGAAAAAATGGGTGCAGACTGAGGATTGTTTTGTGGATGATTCATCTTTCGCCAGAATCTATAGATGGAATAAACAGTATTTATATTTCATAGCTTGAGTCTGGTGCCTTAGACCACTCGGCCATCCACCGTAGGGTGTTTGCCTTGCATGCAGCCAACATGGCCGACCCGAGTTCGATTCCTCCGCCCCTCTCAGAGAGCCCGGCAAGCTGCCGAGAGTATCTTGCCTGCACGGCAGAGCCTGGCAAGCTCCCCCGTATTCGATATGCCAGACACAGTAACAACAAAGTCTCCAATGGAGACGTTACTGGGCCCGCTCGAGCAAATCGATGATCAACGGGAGGGCCTTTACTTTTACTTTACTTTTATATTTCATAGCTGAATTAAAAGCCATCTGCCCAGACCACTGCTAGAACCTGCTTCCACCTCAGGTCTGACAAGAAAGGATTCTACTTCCATTCCTTAATATAAGGTTGTTGGCAGGATTTGGTTGTTTGGGATTCTTACTTGGGGAAAGGCAGTGTGCATCTCAATCACTACTTGGCTATTGTACAGTGGAAACCCTCAGTTCCATGCCACATGGCCTTCCCCAAATGATGATTTGTTTTATCAGTGCTAGCAAGGGGAGACTGCCAGCAAGAAAGAACTCAGTCTTTAATAATCTAACTGTAGAAGACATATAGCAATACCTTTGACCTATTATAGAGTAGAAGCAAGCCACAAATCTTGTTCATACTCCCAAGGAGAGGATTACACAATAGTGGGCAGATGAGGAGACTTGGGTCGTTTGGGGACCATCCTAGAATTTGCGAGCTATATACAAAAAGGTTAAGTAACATATAATCTTGGAACTTTTAGGCTGCTATAATGAAATGCCACAGACTTGTTGGCTTAAAAATAACAGAACTCGGGGCCGGAGCAATAGCACAGTGGGTAGGGCATTTGCCTTGCACGCGGCCGAACCAGGTTCTATTCCTAGCATCCCATATGGTCCCCTGAGCACCACCAGGAGTGATTCCTGAGTGCATGAACCAGGAGTAACTCCTGTGCATCGCCGAGTGTGACCCAAAAAAGAAAAAAAAAATAACAGAACCATTTTTAATTGTTTAAATATTTGTTAAATTGTTTTTGATTAAAAACAACAGAAATAGAAGCATGAAAGTCTAAGATCATGATGACTGGTGAAAGTTGGGGTCACCATAAGCTCACATGGTGGAAAGGGCAAAGAATGTTTTCTAGGTCTCTCTCACAGAATATGGATCTCATTTGGGGGTGGGGGGAGATTCCTCAAATAATTAGGAACGAGTCTATTTCTATTTTATCATCCTTAGGATAAATCCACTAGTGTAAGGATTACTATAGAGACAGATGCTCTTTTGCAATTGTTGAATCCCTCCTCCAATCACACAGATTTTCAAAAAACCTTGAAAATAACTAGAGTGACTTCATTGTACTTACCTAGATTTCCAGAAGTTTAAAAATATTAAGGGATATGTAACACTACTACCTTCATTCTGAATTTGCAACAGCTATTGACCAGCACTAAGAACTTTGTAATGATCTAGACTTCCAGAAGTCTAAAATTATATAAGATATGTAATAATGGGCTGGAGCGATAGCACAGTGGTAAGGCGTTTACCTTGCATGCAGCAGACTCAGCCTACCCGGGTTCGATTCCTCCACCCCTCTTGGAGAGTCCGGCAAGCTACTGAGAGCATCTCGCCCACACGGCAAAGCCTGGCAAGCTACCTGTGACGTATTTGATATGCCAAACACAGTAACAAGTCTCACAATGGTGACGTTACTGGGCACGCTTGAGCAAATCGATGAACAACAGGAGGACAGTGACAGTGACAGTGATGTAATACTATTGCCTTCACTCTGAATTTATAACAGTTATTGATTAGCAATAAGTAACAACTTAGTGAGAAAGCATTTGTCTCATTTCCAAATTCCCTTTGAGCACACTGTGACTTGCAAGGCATTCAGACGCAGACATGGAACTATACTCAGTACAATCAAACATAAAGTTTGATTTATCATTTCTCTCAGCAGGCTTGAGAAATGAAGAGAGTTCATGAAAGTGTGAACCAGGGGTTTTTCCAACATACCTAACCAATATAAAAATTTTTAAATAATATGAATTTATGCATAAAATTAAATTCATCCCCAAGGTGCTAACAAGACACATTTATAAATAATTGACTCAGAGAAAAAAAATCTTTGTTATTCCTATTTTACAGGTTAGCTGCTCATTTGCTTGTGCACAAACTAATTTTACCTTGTAGTAGCAGTGACTCAAAATGGTACAATGCCTTAAAGACACTCAACAATCTTTTTGTAAGAATAGAATTATAGTTGGTTGATGAATATTTATTCTACTTGCGAGGCACTGTATTAAATCAACTATGAAACACTGAGATATGCATGATAATTTTAACAATGCCCTATTAACAAGTCTGTGGTATATTGGAACAAAAGCTGGGTCTTTTACATTTCCAACATTCCAGGCTGCTTTTGTTCATATTCTCTTGATTATTTATATAAAACAGTGAGGCTGATTTGAGGTTATGCACACAACCTTTGGCAGGCTGTTTCAAAATTACCATATAATTGTATGTTAATTGTCATAGTCTTCATACTTCAAATAAATTTATATAGGATATATAATTACAGTTATTAGATTCTAAACCCTGGCAATTAGGTGATTCAAACAGGTTCTTTCTCTGCAGTGCCTTAGGAGAATATCATTTTAAAACACACACACACACACACACACACACACACACACACACACACACAAAGAATGGTGTCTCCTACCACAGTCCCAGCTGGTAATTCTGATTTGTCCCATGATTTCACAGCTGCTATTACACAGCCCCCACCATCTCACACTTGTCTGGCCAGTGGAGCTTTCCTTAATTAGCAAATGACTTAAACTTTAGTTTTCACTTATTTGTTGCCTAGATTCCCTGGGCTATCTGAGTGCGGGCTAGTCTAACTGGCAAAGAAAATCTACTTGAACATTAATACTATTGGCCTGTTACTGAACAAAAGGAAGAACGGTCTGGTGGTTGAATGTGCTTTCCTTATTAATGGAATTGCTTCTCTGATATCTTCTCTTTCACTATTATTTGGCTTGGGGGTCACATCCAGAGATGCTCAGGGGTTATTCCTGGCTCTGCACTAAAGGTGCAAAGGTGCTTGGGAAACCACCATATGGGGTGTCAGTGACTGAACCCATCGGCAAACCGCCAACCACCTGTATCCTTCGGACCCCTGCTCTTTCATTTTAGACAGCTGTCTAGACTCTGTACTTTTACTTGGGGTGCTGGTTTAGTAAAGTATAGTAAAGGCCCTCCCGTTGATCTTCAATTTGCTCGAGCAGGCCCAGTAACATCTCCATTGGAGACTTTGTTGTTACTGTGTTTGGCATATTGAATACGTCACGGGGAGCTTGCCAGGCTCTGCCGTGCGGGCGAGATACTCTCGGTAGCTTGCTGGGCTCTCCGAGAGGGGCGGAGGAATCGAACTCGGGTATGGCTTTCCAAAGAGACTCGGCGGGGCTGGAGCGATAGCATAGCGGGTAAGGTGTTTGCCTTCCACGCAGCTGATCAGGCTTCTATTCCCAGCACCCCATAAGGTCCCCTGGGCAACGTGGGAGTAACCCCTGTGCATCGCCCAGGTGTGACCCCAAAACAAGAAAAAACAAACAAAAAACCCAAAAAGACTCAGGGCTATGTCTTGTCTACATTTGAGAGGGCCCACAGAGCATATTTTGTGGAGATCCACAGTCCTCTTCTTTAAGAAGTAGGTCAAACATAGCAATATTTTTACTTTTCACCTCGAAATGTACCATCTCTGACACTTTGCTAAAAACTGCTGTTAAGACCTCTTATTTATTGAATGAGGCATGGATATGAACAATACACTTTTTCTCTCTCAGCACAATACAAAGCTAATGATCTAAATTCCCTCTTCACTTTTTTTTGGGGGGGGGGAGGTCAGTGCTTGATGCCAACTCTCAGAGACATGTGAATCATGAGCTCTATCTACCCCTGAACTGCAGACCCTTCTTCCATCCTCCGTCAAGTGCAAAAATAACTGCAAGCCCCTCTTCTATGCCGACGCAGAGCCGACAGCCACGCTGCAGTGTCCCGTATGAGGGGATGCTCCTTCGCCTTCGCCTCCCCGAATCCGCGGCTGCGCTCAGTCCCTCCAGCGGGATGCAGGGCCCTCCAGAGCCCCGGGCACGGTCACCTGCTGGCCAACTGGAAGAGGCCTGCGATCCTCAAAAATAAAAAGCAGTTTCCCCGCCCCAGAAGTGAAGCTCTCCGTAGCACCCAGCTCAGCAAGGGGAGGGTGGGCTACACTGCACAACTTCGGGGAGCTAAAACTTGTGATTCTGCATCCTCTCTCGAGGAGTCCTTCCAGGAACAGACAGTTCTAAAACCGAACCCGACCCAGAGCGGAGCTGACGCGAAGGCCCGTGGGTCGGGAACCGCGGAGCCCCCCGCCCAGTCGAAAGCCTCCAGTTAGTTTACCCAAACCCGGCACTGCTGCCCGGCGCGTCGGTCTGAGGGCGGCGTGCGCGCGTCCCCGCCGAGCCCAGGGCGCGCCGCCGCCGCCGCCGCCGAGCCCAACGTGCGTGCGCGCGCGTGCGTGTCCCCGCCGAGCCCAGCGGCGCGTGCGCGCGCGTCCCCTCCGAGCCCAGCGGCGCGTGCGTGCGCGTCCCCGCCGAGCCCAGCGGTGCGTGCGTGCGCGCCGCCGCCGCCGCCGCGAGCGGGCGCCCGGCTTGGTGGGCGGGGCCGAGCGGGACGGGGCGGGGCTGCGCGCGCGAGGGGCGGAGGCCGGCGAGCGAGAGGAGGAGGAGGAGGAGGAGAAGAAGAGAAAAGAAAAGGCGGCGGCCCGGCCGGGGAGGAGAGGCGCGGCGGACGCTGACGGCGCCGGGGCAGCTGGGAGCGAGCGGGCACGGCGGCCAGGGCAGTCCGGGCCGGGGCCGCGCCGGGGCCGCGCCCGCCGGTGAGTGTCGGGCGGCGGCGGCGGCGCGCACGGGAGGCCGGCGCGGCCTGAGCGGCGCCGGGGCTGGGGGCGGCGGGCCGGAGCCCGGGCGGAGCAAGTCGGTGCCTCGCGGGGGGACCCCACTCCCCACCTACCTTTGGGGTGGGGGGTGGGCCCGAGCGCGAGGCTCGACGGAGCGAGGGGCGGGGGGTGCGTTCGCCACGATGCTCCCGCCGGGGGCCAGCCGGGAGGCGGTCGGCAAATGGCGACCCGGACGCGACCCCCCGGGTCACCCTGCCCTGCCGCGTCGTGGCGCGGCATCCCCAAGGCCCGGGGGGAAGCAGGAGTGGAACTTGGGAACCTCCCCCCGACCCCCCACGCGCACCCCCCCAGTTGCACCCCAGTTGCCAAGTTGCTCTCCCATCAACCCCCCCCAAACCTGACTCCTCTTGCACTTTATTATTATTATCATTATTATTATTATTATTTTCCCAGAAACTCGGGGCTCCCTGGGGCCAAACGGGTTAACCGGGGATCGCCTCATCCCCGGGCTGCACGGGGATGAGGGTTAAGTTGGGAACTTTTCCATTCATGGAAGTGCGAGGCTCGGAGGAGGCTCTTCTTCTCCTCCTGGGACATCATTAAAAGGGCAACTTCCAGGTTTCTTTCTCTTTTAGTATTTGGTTGTCTGTCTGTTTGCGGGGCGGGGGGTGGGTGTTTCCCGGGAGGGAACCCCGGGGGCCGCGTGGATTTCGTGGGGTGGGGTGGGGGGGGCCGAGGGGCGCGCGCGGCGGCCGGCGTTGTTTACCCGCGCGCCCGAGTCTCCCCCCCGCCCCCCCCCCCCCCAGGTCCCCCCGCGCGCCCGCGGCTTGTTTTTCCCCTTTCCCAGGCCGTGTCGTCAGGCCCAGATAAAAAGATGCTTGGGAAGGAATTGACCTTTTATTCCATAATTGCCCGCTTGACTCGGAGCCAAGCTCAAGTTATTTATGGACATTCTGTTATCGGTGTAGATTAACATAAAACTCCCCCCCTGCGTGCAAAAAAAAAAAAAAAGAAGTGGGAGGGGAGGAGGGGAAAAAAATAAATAAATAAAACCCCACAGCCACCGAAGAACTTTCTCCGACTTTCTCTTTGCCCCGAGTCAAGCCAGCTGAGGGGCCCAAGAGAGACTTGGGAGGGGGAAGTGCCCAGTCCCGGTTGTTGACCAGGCCAAAGGGAGAGAGCTTGAGTAGCTTTTTAAAGCCTGGTGGACTTTTTTTTAAAAGTCCCCCAAAACACCTTTGGGACTTCTCCGAGAGGTTTCAGTATGTGCCTTTGCTGAATCACTCTTCTTGATGCTTAGTCACTGTTTCTTACTCTAGAAGTTTAATTGCGGGGGCGGGGGGGAGGGGTGGATAACGCGGTGTTTGGGTCCCTTTTTTAATCGCCGGGTTGCTTTTATCTGGTGCTTCAGTGCGATGACATAAGCCTTCTTGGGGGTGATTTTTGAAATGCTCGTGGGTGGAGGTTTGCCAGTGTTATCGCAGCGGAAGTTTCCAGTGTAGGTAAACTTTTCTTGCATTCCGGGTGTACAGGATAGTTTTAATTTCAGACCAGTGCTTCCGTCTAGTTTTGAGACATTTGAGAAGCTAGAAATTGTCTTTAAGGAAATGGACAATTAAAGAGGAATAATAGTGCATGTTTTTGGAGAAAATGTATTGATAGATACTTTTAGGTCACCAAAACTAGGTATTGCTAAATACGGAGGTTTTGCTATTTGATGCAATATTCTCATCTGTGACCTTTTTATGAAGTTAGCCTTATGCTGCTTAGTTTTGGATAAATCTTTTCCAAATTTCTAATGGCTGTCAGTTTATTGAATGACTTCGAGGTTGTAGTACTTTTTGATGTTAAGCCTTGGACCAAAAGGATATATAAAATATGCTTTGATTTCAGAGTCAGCTTAATGAAATAGATGAGACTGGTCTTGGACTGTTAGCTGAATATAGTTAAACATGCCTCGATTAAAACCCATATGTAAAAATCTTTTCCAAAAGGATATTTTCTCCCCAAGGGTGGTAATGTTAGCATTAGTTTTTCCTTTGATTTCTGTAAACTTTATAAGTTTAAATGACCAATATTTTTGGGGGGAAAAACCTAAATGTGACTGTTTGTGTGAACTATGTCCCTATTTTTTCAGGAGTGTGTGTTTGTAGCCAAATGGACTCACATAATTATAAACAATCTTTGAGAGTTCTAGATTGTTTTCTTGGGAGAGTAATTGCCATAAGGTCACAGAGCTTAGATTCCTGGGAAGGCCATTCTCACCGTCCACTGGCAGTCGCTGCCCATTTTGTTGTTGGGTTTTTCCTGCTTTGGGAGCCACGTGGGGCTGTGTTCATGGACCCCGTGGTTCTGGGGGTTTGAACATGCAGTCTTTGGGCTCAGCCTGTTGAGCGGTTTTTCCTGACCTGCCCCTTTGAATACGCCTCGGTCCACCATTTGGGCGGGTTACTATTAGTAGATATACTTTGGGGCTTGGGAGAACTCCACCTGGCACTGTTTAGGGTTTACTCCAGGATCTCTGGGGTTGCTCCTGGTTGCACGGAGAACCCCTGGTGCCAAGCATGAAACCTGGACCTCCTGAGTTCCAAGCATGCCCTGTAGCCCACTGTGGCCCTGGGAGGATTATTTTTGTTGGTATTAGTTGACGTAGGTTCTGGTCTGGGGATTAAATATTTATTAATATTATTTTGGTTTTTACGTACATCTGCAGTATTTTCATTTGCTTGTTGAGTGAAGAACATTACAAGTAGCACTTTTAGTTTGGAATAAGCTCCTCATGACCATATTTAGAAATGTTACATGTATGTTTTGATTCTATTCATTACCGGAACCATAACAATGAAAAGTTTCCTTATAATCTCATAAAATTGAAAAGTCAGAACCAGAGTTTCGTAAAAGCATTTGTACATCGTAGTTCACTTAACTATTTTGAACTCATCAAGAGGCCGTGTGCTTCAATTCCCCCCCCCCCCCCCCCCCCCCCCCCCCCCCGGTTTTTAAAACTGAAGACATGGGATGTTCATCTGACACTATAGATTTATTGTGATCTTAAAGCAGAACATACCCAGTCAGTAAATCAGTCAGCAAGTGTTTGCATTCAGAATAAAGCCCTATGCCACACAGTACATAAAGGATGGGACTTGCTCAGAAGCTTTTAACGGATTGCTAAATTTCACGTCTCAGTTGTGTTATTTGTAATGAAGGTTAACTGATTTAACGAGGCTGAAGTTTCAATTCAGCCTTAAATGGAAGCAGCTTTTTCTTGTCTAAATAGTTGTCTCCTCTCCTCTAAGAGGAGTCAACTATAATGTTAAGCAGTGTGTTTATTCCACTTTGGACTTTGAGCTTTTTCTCACTGTGTACCTACTCTGGCACTTGCACTTAGTTCTCCTCTGCCTTTCTTTTAAAAACTTTAACACTTGAATGCAGTTTTCCCTAGCAATCAGAATGGAAATAGGTAGTAAAAGGGGTGTGTGTGTGTGTGTGTGTGTGTGTGTGTGTGTGTGTGTGTTTGGGGCAGCAGAGGCAGACATTAAGAACTGTACTGGGCTCCCGGAGGTGGCCCTGGGGACAGACCACATGGTCTTGCTATCGAGGCCCTGGGTTCTTGGGTTCCATCCCTGGCACTGCATTCTCCTAGAACATCATGGGTGAGGCCTCTGGGCCTTCTTCCCATGTGACCTGACTTTTTTGTATTTTAAAGTTATACAGTTACCTCCTTATGTACTTTATGCAATATCTCCTTATTTGAAAAAAAAAAGAAAATGGATTTTTTAATGACATAAAAGTATTTTTATAGCTTGCTTGGCTGCCATCGACTATAAGTTGGCAAAGAATTAGAAAATTGAAATGAAAATAAAGCATTTAATTACAGATATTTTCCAATCTAGTCAAACCTTCCTCCTCATTCAACTTAAGTATTTAACTTTAATAGAATTGAATACTATTTAGAATGTTTCGATTAATTTTCAAGAGAGTTTTGCAGGAATCCTATGGAGGGTCTTTATATTTAGTTCTTCTTAAACGTGAAGCCTTCATTTTATCAGTGTTTTCAGCTGGGCCTGCTGTCTATACTGTTCAGCTGACAAATCTGGGATTGATGGTTTAAATCCATTCAGCGGGATTTATGAGCAGTTGTGAAATATGGAGGCATATTTAATTTGACAATATTGATCTTGGTTAGAAATGATGAATCTGAGAGTTTTAAATTCTGATAGCTGAAGGTTCTCTCTCCAGAATACTCTGGTTGCTTAAGTGCTCTTCCCCCCACCCTTAATATATTCAGCCATAAGATGAAATTATATTTGATTTCTTATTTATATAGCTGCATTTAGAATTGTGAAATTGTTGTTTCTTACATTTATATAGGTCCTTGGAAATGTAACTTATTTTTTAAAGTAACTTAAAACACATATTCAAGCATAGCAGCGTGCTATTATAATTAGAAAGGGCCTAAAAAGGGCTTTCTTGACCATAGGGGTGATTAAGTATTCGAGTAAACTCTGGCAAAGTTGTGTAATATTCATTCCTTAAATAACATCTTAAAATTGGATCACCAGTTATTGACGTGCTGCCTTATTTCCTTAAACTTTTACAACTACTACATGTGCCTTACTATTCACATGCGGCATGATTCTGATTCCAATTTCAATTCTCGCTGCCACATAGATGACCAGGTCTTCCTCAGTCTGTGTCCTCTGGGTTGTTAGCAGCATTAAGTGGCATGGTATGTGTTAAGAAGGATAAAATAGGCACAGGGATAAAATCCTTCTCTCTGAGTCTGCTATAATAATAAATATTGTGGACTTATAGCTGTGGATGCCTTTTAATGAACATTCTATTGCATTCAGAGTGGAATAGTGTGGAAGATGTTATTTTGAGGTTTGAGAGCATTCTACCCTTTGGAATTACTGTTGCTTTGCTTAACCTGGTTCTTAACAGTTACTATTTTAAACACTCTGGAATGAAGTGTGTGTGTGTGTGTGTGTGTGTGTGGTGGGGGGGGTATCATGTACTGTGCATATAACATAAATTTTGCCTAGAAGATCGGAGAGCATTGGTCACTTTCATTGGAACTGCTTGGGTTTGTAGGTTTCTCTCCATAGCAGTCAGCATGTGAGATTCAGTCTAGTTGTTGCAAAACAAGAAAGCTACAGCTGTTTTCAGATCTGATCGCTCAGTAAAATTTGTCTTAATTCTTGTTAAAGGTCCTCCGAGCGTCTGCTTAATTTATAAATGTTTGTCATCATTAGTCTGTCATTTCTTCTGAGTATTTTAGCATGTCTGTCTTTAATTACTGACTGGTTTTGCTCCTAGCTTTAAATGTATGACCATTAACATTCTTAGTATTTAACTCAAACCTGTAATTTTTAAACATAATTTAAAAATGCGGTTTGATTGGTAAACGTGTTCCTGTTTCCCGTCATCCCCCATATCATTAAATGTCATACTACCAACTCAAGACTACTTAAACCAAAAACTCTGTCAAAAATGAATGCCTGTTATTTCAGTTTGAGGAAATTCAAGTCTGTAATGGAGAAAAATGCAAAGGAAAAGTTTGCGTTTTGGGGTGTGATTAGCTTACATTAGCTAACTACAACCAGAGTAGAGGTTGTAGCAAAATGTGGCACTGCACTGTAGCACTGACCTCCCGTTGTTCATCGATTTGCTCGAGCAGGCACCAGTAATGTCTCCATTGTGAGACTTGTTACTGATTTTGGCATATTGAATACGCCACGGGGAGCTTGCCAGGCTCTGCCATGTAGAAAAATACACCAACTATTATATTGGTATTATTGTCTACCAACGTGATTGGCTGTAAAGGTCTGAAGTTATAAGAGGAATCAAATAAGAAGGTTTAGGTGAGTTTTCAACAGCTTTTGAGAAGTTCAGAGTACCCAGGGGAAATTATTAAAAAAAAAAAGTGAGGAATAAATTACACAGATCGCTGAAGAGTAAGAGAAGAAAAGCTAAAGAATAACCTGAAGTAGGGGGAACCCAGGAAGATAAGGTTATGGAGGAAAAATGCTATTTTCACTTAGCATTGAGGATCTCAGTAGCACATTTTAATTAGATTAGAGGACTGGAGAGTATAGGAAAGGATAGAAGATCTTTTATGTTTCCCCTGAAAGCTCTCATCCCGATCATGTGGTAATGTGATGTTTCTATTGCCTCAGACTTGTTGTAGCTCCATGAGAAGGAGGCACCATGTTTTACTAATATTTATGTTGCCACACCAAAACACAGTACCTGGTACTAAATACTTAAGTGGTGGATAGGCATTTAGTGAGTGAATAATGGAAACTGGCCTTCAGAGGTAAGTCATTTGCAGGGACATCCTTTCTGGGTAAATTCTCTGGTTTTTTTTTGTTTTGTTTTGTTTTGTTTTTTAAAGGCTGTTGGTTTGTGTTAAAATTTATTGAGGCATATGTTGGAAAGACAATTAGAATCTTAAATATTTATGAAATTAAAAAAACATTTGGCCTGTCATCCCCTTTTCAGGAAAAAAAAATATGCAGCATTTCCATGGAAATCTATTTATGTGAACAAACTACCCCATCCCCTTCTCAGTTTTGCTTAAATATATCATGAAATTTGGATTCTTTTTGTTTGTTTTGGGGGAGTGGACCCATACATGGCGGTGCTCGGGGTTTACTCCTGGGCACTCAGGGATTGAACCCAGGTTGGCTGCATGCAGGCAGCACCCTACCTGCTGTACTGTTGCTTCCAGCCCCAAGATTATTTTCTTTTAGACTTGATGAACTTGATTAATTTTCTTTAATATTCTGGGTATGAAAAAAAACTGTTATGGTTGAAATTTTAAAGGTTAAAAGCTAAAGCTTTATCCTTAATCTAAAAGTTATGTATGCATTACCTTGTTTTTAGTATTGATTTCTATGCTGCATAGGGCGTTTGCCTTGAACACAGCTGAACCGGGTTCAATTCCTCCGTCCCTCTCAGCCTGGCAAGTTCCCCATGGTGTATTCGATATGCCAAAGACAGTAAAAACAAGTCTCGCAATGGAAATGTTACTGGTGCCCGGTCGAGCAAATCGATGAACAACGGGAGGACAGATAGGACAGTGCACAGTGCATTTAATGTACTGAATTATCTTGAAGTGTTAACGTTTTTTTTTTCACTTTAAAAAATTGTTTAAATTTACATTTAGTCACTGAGACATTGCTGGAGTGATAGCACAGCGGTAGGGCGTTTGCCTTGCATGCGGCGTCAGCCGATCCGGGTTCGATTTCTCCACCCCTGTCAGAGAGCCAAGCAAGCTACTGAGAGTATCTTGCCTGCTCGGCAAAGCCTGGCAAGCTCCCCATGGCATATTCGATATGCCAAAAACAGTAACAAGTTTCACAGTGGAGACGATATTGGTCCCGCTGGAGCAAATTGATGAACAAAGGGAGGACAGTGCTACAGACATTGCTACACCGAGATGTTACAAAGTTATTCATTACTGGGTTCAGACATAGTGTTTTCAACATCAGTCCTTCACCAGTGTCCACTTCCTTCGCCAGTGCCCTCCCATTGTGTCCCCGTTTGCCTCCCACCCACCTGCCTGCTTCTGCGGGGGGAGCTTTCTTTACTGTTTCCTTCAACATGGTTTACCGTTCCCATTGCTGGTAGGGTTCCATACATAACACTTTTCTACCCTTCAATCACCACCTCCTCCCTGTTGAATACTTCCCTCTGCAGTGGCCATTTCCCTCTCCCTGGCCTAACCCCAGCTCCCTCAAATGGCATGTTTCCTACCGAATTCCAGTTTTCATGTTCTTTGTTTCTATCGTTTCTAAGGCTTTTCTAAGATGTAACTGTTACATGGATTATAAACTATAGAATTGGTATAATTTAACCTACAATAAACCACTCGGGGGCTGGAGCGATAGCACAGTGGGTAGGGCTTTTGCCTTGCATGCGGCCGACCCGAGTTTGATTCCCAGCATCCCATATGATCCCCCAAGCACCGCCGGGGTAATACCTGAGTGCAGAGCCAGGAGTAACCCCTGTGCATGGCCGGATATGACCCCAAAAGCAAAATAAAATAAACCACTCTACATCATGATCTGATGTTTGTAAGCAGTTTTCTATAATTGATTTTTTTTCTAATTTATTGTATTTTTTCCGTTTCAACAATTAGATCTGGCCATTATGGAGGAGGAGTCGCAGCATTCACACTGTGTGAATTGTGTCAGCAGACGGTGTATGACTAGACCCGAGCCTGGCATTTCTTGTGACTTGATTGGTTGTTCATTGGTTTGTGGAGCTGTTTTTCATTCTTGTAAAGCTGAAGAGCATCGACTTTTATGCCCATTTGAACGCGTGCCTTGCTTAAATAGTGATTTTGGATGTCCATTTACAATGGCTCGAAATAAAGTTGCTGAACATCTAGAAACGTGTCCTGCAAGTGTTGTGTGCTGTACTATGGAGTGGAACCGTTGGCCCGTTAGCTACGCAGACCGGAAATCCTATGAGAATCTCAGTCGAGACGTTGATGAAGTAGCACAATTAGATATGGCCTTGGCCCTTCAAGACCAACGAATGCTCTTAGAATCTCTCAAAGTCGCCACCATGATGTCAAAAGCTACTGACAAAGTATCAGGTCCCAGAGAACAAATCTCCGTAAAATCAAGTGTTCCAGAAATCGCACATGCCAATGGTTTGGTATCTGTTGATGAAGAATCTTATGGTGCACTTTATCAAGCTACTGTAGAAACAACTAGAAGTTTGGCTGCTGCTTTAGATATCCTGAATACCGCCACAAGAGACATTGGCCTGTTAAGTACAAATCTTTGTGCTTCCCCAAGGGAAATGGATGAAGAGCAGGATGCTGGAGAAAGCTTACAGAGTAGAAATTCAAAAGACCAAGACGGTCCTGATGAGGATGAAATTGGAGCAGTGGGTGGAATTAATCGTGACACAAACCTGAATGCCCTGTCTGAACAGAATGGTTCCAGTGATTTATTATGTGACTCGAATACCAACTCATATGGAACTTCTGCTCTTTGTAATGGCTTTCCTGCGGGAGATATATGTACGCATGTCCTAGATCAGGATGAGGACTTGCATGGGGATTCAAAACAAAGTACCTTAACAAATGGAGAATGCGTAGCATCAGATGGCTCTTCAGATCCTTCTGGCTCAATCTCAATAGCAGCGCAGCTTCGGGAAGTTATCCCATCCAACACTTTACCCAACGGTACAGTTCAGCATCTCCTCCTGCCCAGTGAAGAGGATGAAGGGGAATTGTATTGGCGAAAAATAGGCTTAGGAGACTTGCGAAATTTAGATGCCTTACCTATCAGTCATACGCCTTCGTTCAAATTTATTTCTAATTCGTTGTGGTCGAAGCCAAAGGAAGATAAAGCCGTTGATACATCAGATTTGGAAGTCGCTGAGGATCCAATGGGCCTCCAAGGAATAGACCTCATCACAGCAGCGTTACTGTTTTGTCTAGGAGATTCTCCAGGCGGAAGGGGCATATCTGATAGCCGCGTGGTTGATGGTTATCACATTGACTTTGGGACACAGACTTTCTCCCTTCCATCTGCAATATTAGTTACAAACACCATGGTAGGGGAAATTGCTTCGGCTTCAGCTTGCGATCATGCCAACCCACAGCTTTCAAATCCAAGTCCTTTTCAGACACTTGGGCTGGATTTAGTATTGGAATGTGTCGCTCGGTACCAGCCCAAGCAGCGTTCAATGTTTACATTTGTTTGTGGACAGTTATTTAGAAGAAAAGAATTTTCATCGCATTTTAAGAATGTGCACGGTGACATTCATGCCGGACTCAATGGTTGGATGGAACAGAGGTGTCCTTTAGCGTATTATGGTTGTACCTATTCCCAGCGCCGATTCTGTCCTTCGACGCAAGGAGCGAAGATTATACACGACCGCCAGTTGAGGTCATTTGGCGTTCAGCCGTGTGTTTCTACAGTATTAGTGGAGCCTGCTAGAAACTGTGTGTTGGGATTACATACTGACCATCTGAGTGGTCTTCCTTTCGAAGTCCTACAACATATCGCGGGCTTTCTGGATGGATTCAGCCTATGCCAGCTCTCGTGTGTGTCCAGGTTAATGAGGGATGTGTGTGGCAGTCTGCTTCAGTCTCGTGGAATGGTCATACTGCAGTGGGGAAAAAAGAAGTATCCAGAAGGAAACTCATCATGGCAGATAAAAGAGAAGGTTGGTAGTTAAATCTTTGTGTGTGTGTGGGGGGGGGGTGGGAATGGGGGGCCCTGGGGGCATACTTGGCGGTGCTCAGGACTCCTGGCTCTGCACAAGAGATCTCTCCTGGCCGTGCCTCGGGGACCATATGTGGTGCTGGGGATAGAAGCCAGTCGGCTGTGTGCAAGGCTAGCACCCCACCAGCTGCACCCTCGCTTCTGCCCAGGCTAGCTTCATCTCAACTGTATCTGTCACTGTCACTGTCCTCCCATTGTTCATCGATTTGCTCGAGTGCGCCCAGTAACATCTCCATCGTGACATTTCTTGTTACTGTGTTTGGCATATCAAATACGTCACAGGGAGCTTGCCAGGCTTTGCCCTGCGGGCCAGATACTCTAGGTAGCTCCCCAGGATCTCCGAGAGGGGCGGAGTTTGTATAAGCCCTTTATTTGACATAATAGTTATCACTGTCACTGAAATAATAATATGTTGTCTAAAATTTGACCACCTTAAAGCTTAATAGGAGCCAGAGAGAGGACAGGCCTAAGTCACTTGCCTTGGTGCAGCCCATACCTGTTTGATCTCTGGCACTGCATATGATTCGGGGGTCATTACTCTGGCGCTCTGAGTTAGGAGTAGCTGCTGGAGCTGCACAGGGTATGGCCCCCAGCAAAACAGACACAGAATAACAGCAGGTTCTTTTTAAAACAGTGATCATGCACAGAAATCTAGGATAATTAGAATTCTCTTGATCACTAAATTCTGATTTGGCAAAGTAAGGAGACTGTTCCTTCATTTGTGCATTTTGCTACCCTTTTAATTCTCCAACAACTCCCTTTAGTTTTTTTTTATCTTTTTTATCTGTTTGTGTTTGTTTTTATCTTTTTTATATATTGAGTCACTGTGAAATAGACCCTTACAAAGCTGTTCATGATTAGGTTTCAGTCATGCAGTATTCCAATACCCATCCCTCGACCAATGTACATTTCCCAGCACCGGTGTCCTCAGTTTCCCTCCCTGCTCTTATGCTCTTATGGCAGATACTTCTCTCTCTTTCTCTCTCTCTCTCTCTCTCTCTCGCCCTCCCTCTCCCTCGCTCCCTCTCTTCCATCTCCCTCTCTCCCTCTCCTTCACCTCCTCTCCCTCTCTCCCGTAGGACAGTGAAGGAAGCAAGAAGAATCTTTTAAAATTATTTATAATTGGCAGTTTCTCTCCTTTCTTGGCAGTGTTTTAGAACTGGATTGTTGCTTAGAACGTGGTTGTTGCAGGTAGAACTAAGAGGAAGAGAAAACTATAGTATATTTGGATAATAGTGTAAATACATAGATCTGGAAATGTGTTAAGAGGTGAAATAAGAAGAGAATAGGGTTGGATACTGTTGGTGAGGACTTTGGGTTTAGCATATTATAAGGATATGTTGTTTAATTTGGAGCCTAAGCTGGAGATCTAAGTAAGTACTTATTTAGTATTTGGGGAACAGATTTGGCCCCACTGTTTTACTCCTATAACTACGTTTGCTGAGCTTCTGTTAGAGGAATCAATAAAAATTATAAGGTATTACAGATAACTTTGATTAAAGAAATGTAATCACAGGGTCATAAGGAGTCTCAATACTGTTTGCTTTAAGAGAATGTTCGCCTTATTCCTGCAACTCTGTTTCCAGTCTGTTTTAAATGTATGCCATTCTCACTGGAGAGCGTTGATAGCGCCTTGTTTAGATTTGCATTTCTCTAATAGTAATGGCAGAGAACACTTCGTAAATGTGCCTACCAGCCGACCCCAGGTCCCTTCTAGAAAAGGGTCTTATTTCCTTCCCCTGTGAGGTTCTTGTTGTTGCTGAGCTTTATGAATTCTTTCTGTATCTTGGATATTACATTAATCCTTTATGTCTGGTATGCAAATATTTTCTCCTATTCAGGAAGTTCTTTTAATTTCAGCCTCAGCTTTCTTTTGCCATTCAAAATCTTTTCAGCTTGATATATTCCCCTTAGTTTTTGTTTCCGTTGTCTTTGCCAGGGAAATCAGATCATTGACAATACCTTGGAGGTAGAAACAGATTTTTAAATGAAGTATTTCATACTGTTCATGATACATTGTCTTTATTTTCACTTTCAGTTACTGCTGGTTGCTTTATAGTCCAGCCCACAGTGATTTATTTACAGTTGCCTGTTGTTTGTTATCTTCAGTTCTTTGATATATGCAGTTCATTTGATCGGTAGAAATACAGTAGCCAGCAGTTACTAAGAACTTTGCCCTCATTAACTTAGTTGACACTCCTTGTTTTATGGTAAAGAGCTTCTTGAGGTTTTAGAGGATAACTCAGACCTAGGGAAGAGGTCTCTGGATCTTGTAATCTTCATCAGCTGTTCTCTCTTCAGATCTTCAAGAAAATTTTTAGAATTTGTTTTGGAGTCAATTTTTAAAATTTCTAAACAAATTTTAGAATTTGTTTTGGAGTCACACCTAGTAGTGCTCAGGGCTTTGTCCTGTATTTGGGGGATTGTAGGGCATGCCGGGGATCAAACCCACATTGGCCATGTGCTTAAACACTTAAAAATCAAGCACCCTGCCCACTAGACTCTGGCCCCAAGAAAGCTTTTTGGCATACTCCCCACCCCAAGCCTGTAAAGATGTGCACTGCACTGTAGCTCTGTGGTGCCTTGTTATATACAACCCATCCTGTACTCCTGCAAAAGTACTCATTGTTTCATTTTGAAATTGACTAAAGAATTGTCACTTTTCTTCAGTAATTAAGCTCCTTAAGAAGCAGAGCTTTCTGGGGGGGGGCGTGTTTATTGGGGTTCTTCGTGGTGAAAAATAAGTATTGGTAAAGGGAAATGTGATTGATATTTGCATGACTGAGACCTAAACCTGAAAGCTTTGTAACTTTTCCCACAGCGATTCAATAAAAAAAAAAAAGAAGAAGCAGAGCTTTCTGGGAACCAAAATAACTACTTCCTACTAAGCCTGCCTTATAGTAGTCTCTCAGAGAAGAGTTGATGGATATATGAGTGAAAATTGGCCCACTTAGGAAACATCAACAGAAGATGGGAGCCATCCATTTCTTCCTGCTTTTCTGAGCTTGTTTCTTTTTCAGACTCATCACTGTGTGATGGGGCAGGCTACTTGCCACCATTGATAATTTGAGCTAAAAGAACTTCTAATTCTTCCCATAGGTTCATGAGAGTGGGAAATTGTAAGGGAAGCGATTGGCTTCTATGATGTCTTTTGGTAACTCCCCTCTGTTCTTCCCTGACTCCTGGGAAATGGTTCCGACCAGGATTATATAACCTTAAGGAGGGCAGCAAGCGAGTCCCTCTGTGAACAGTGTTGGCTTCTGCACACCACTCCTACTTCCTAGAGTGTCTGTTCATTCCACGTCTGCAGTATTCTCTTTCTGTAGATGAGTTTGGGCGCTTGTCATATTTTATTCAGGCTTCTTGCCTGGGTCATCCTAGTCCCTCACACTTTTACCTGTGTTTAGGCAGTTTTATATTTGGAATTATAACGATGAGGGCATGGGTCACAATAGTGTTTGCTAGACAGATAAATTGATAGTGCTAAGGGCTCAATGCTAGGTGAATGAACGAAAGGGGTAAGTTAACCCACATGTTTCTCACAGATACCCAAGTACAGATGACAGGAGAATATTATGGAGTCAAATAACATTCCATTTACAGAAACTTGATTGTAAATTCTGTATACAGAATTTTGTAATTGTTTTAAATAAATTGAGGTCCCTGTGTCCTTGAATATTACCTATAATGCTAACAGTGGAAAGATAAATTGCCTTGGCATAATATTTTAGAGTATTTTTGTTAATGAATTTCACATAATAGTATTGGGAGAAAATCTTCGAGAAAAAAATAATACTTGAGTTGTCACCCCAAGGCCAAATAATTATGTGTCCACATTTGGATACAGTGAAAGAATAATGCACGGCCTATATTTGAGGAAGTCTCTATGACTTCATGAGGTTATGATTCTGGTTTTAGTTGTTTAGTAAGGCAGGTTGGAGTTTAATGTTTTGTCTTTTCGGTTATTTATTGAATTCATGATGTCAGAATTTATAAATGTTTGATAAATAGATTGGTATCCAAATGGATGGATTACGTTCAAATTTCTAGCTAATTGAAATGTTATATTGGATATTTCTCTAAGAGGACAAAAGTATATAGTTAGAGCAAGAAGTATTTTTATGTTTTTAGTTCTAGTAAATTGACTTGTTTAAATCTAAAGTAGACTTTTCTTTTAGGTATGGCGATTCAGTACTGCGTTTTGTTCTGTTAATGAGTGGAAATTCGCTGACATCCTCAGCATGGCCGATCACTTGAAGAAGTGCAGTTACAATATTGTAGAGAAACGAGAGGAAGCAATTCCATTGCCATGTATGTGTGTCACGCGGGAACTCACTAAAGAAGGACGTTCACTTCGCTCAGTTTTGAAACCTGTACTTTAAAAACTGTAACTCCCCTTGCACATGCAAGCACCTAGTATAATTTTCTTTGTAATATGAAACACTTTATTAATGTATTAAATATTACAACTAGCTAAATTTATTGTCACAATGTACATAATGTTTTGAAGTGACGTATATTTTTATAAAGTACTGTTTAGTTGGGAAAAAGTTGCCTTAATGTTTGAAATGTGTGAATTTTTGCTGGACAGGGTGATTTAATTCTTAGCTACACAATTTTCAGAATTGGTATTTCTACTGGTGTGCGTATTTTGGTTCTTAAATATTTTGCTTCTTGAACTAACATGATCCTGACCAAACACTTCTTATTTTCTGTGGGTTGTAACCCAGGCATTGAAACAGCAAAACTTTGATTTTTTTTTTCAACCTTGGTTTTTCAGATAAAAACTTCTCAGCTTTTAAGCACTTAAGCACTAACATAAGGTCATTATAAAATTTTACATTTTTATTTTCTAGCACTCCCCTTACTCTGCTTTCATAATATTAGAATCATAGCTACTATTTGGTAATGTTACTTACTAAGTTTTTTAAATACCAGTATTTTTGCTTTGTGTACTTAACCACTCTAATAGAGGTGTGACCTTAGGCAGCTTTGTTTTTGATTAGATACTACATCCAAAGAGTCATAGTAACGTGTTATATAATAGTGTAGGTAAAAACGAAAAAAAACCCTGTGAATTTAATTTGGACCTGTGTGTGGTATTTGCTAGGTACCTGGTATTTGGAGAGAAGAAAACAATACCTCATTTTAAGCATGAATTGGGCATAATGTGTAAATAAATTCCAGATACTCAGAATGCAAAAAGGGATTAAGTTTTTCATAAGCTTTAAATTTTTTGCCATCTGGGGTTTAAAAGTTATGTATTAAGACAAATGTGAAATTTGATACTGTTTTAAGATGACAATTGTGAAAAGCAAAAAGCTATTCTTTGTCGACAATCTCTTTAAAATATTTCTAGGTTAATTCCCTAGGCTTTTTTACCAAAACAAATTGATTTTGTCAAAAAGTCAGAGTATGACAGAAACAAAGACCCATGCTCATTTTATTACAGTTTAAAATTTGATTGCTACTATTACTAACCTGATATGTTTAGTAAAGAAGAGTAAAGGCTGTGGATGTAACTCAGTGGTAGAGCACTTGGCTTGTCTATGGTAAGACTTGGGATTCAATCACCTGCATAGGGGGACTGAAAAAGAAGTGCCAAGAATGATATCAGTTTCTAAAAATCATAAAATGGCATATGTACTTTAACATTTATTTCTAGGTAATTTCTGACATCTAGTTGTCTGACTTTTTGACAAGTTACTTGTTAAAAACTTGACCGTGTCTTCTCTTCCTACACTTGCCCCTGAAAGGGCTCTAGAATTCGGGAGTTCTTGATTCCCGTACATGGCAGCCAGTCCAGGAGGAGACAAATTCCCAACTGTTTAGACTTGGATTGGGTTTAGTCCTTATTATAGTCAAAATATAAGACATTGAAGACTCATCAGTTGTTTTACCTCACCTATTAGTAAACTCGTGCCTGCAAGTTTCCGATTATAAGACTGAATATACACAATCTATTTCTGTGCAGAAGTAAAGCATAAGATGTCAGATATCTTTGTAAAGGTACCACTACAAAGATATCACTGTAACATACCACTTTGTCTTGTAAAGTTTTGCTGAAGAATGTGCCTATGTTTAGGATAGCACAAGCATCAATGTTTCATGGTTGTGTTTTTTATTTTAAATGCTTTATTTTCTAGTTTAGGTCTTGTTTGCACACTGGATCATGAGATATTTAGTATTTCACCACCTTACATTTCTTTTACACATCTGTTATGCCACCATCAATTTTGTTAAAAAAATGTTTTTGTTGTGCAGCATTTGTCCAAATTCAAATAAAATTAATATTTCTCTTTATATGGCTCAGTAACTTAAAAAGAAAAGCTTTCATTTAAATAAAATTTTAATACTGGTTTGACAAATTTCAAAACAGTCATATTGTTTCATATTGTGGATTTTTTGCATGTTGTAGCAGTTGCTTGTTGGTTATCATTGTCCACCCTTGGTTCACTGGTCAGTGTTTAATTTTTTAAACTGTGTTTGCTTTCTCTACCCCTTTTAAGGTCTTCGTGAAGTAAAGATATTTTAAGGATATTGAAACTGTAAAAAAAGTTTCTGGAAATACTACTTTTGTAAAAATTGGAAATGATCAAATCAGTTCTCTAAGCATGAAGAGACTTACGTTGATCAAATATGTTGTCATTTGAGAAGAGTTTGTTGAATCCTTAGTTAAGCAGCAAGAAAAAGAGTCCATATCAGGATAAAGAAACATACTTCAATTTATTTTATCCTTTGTTTCTCGCAAGTTCCTGTTAGCTTAAATCTGTCTCTCTGTAATTGACTTTTGAAACAATCAGATACTTAAAGTATTGATTCTCAGTGGTAGTAATTAATCTCTGAAGTAGTCATCAGGGAATTTGTAGAAATGCAAATTTTGGGCCTTTCCCCAGACCTAATGATCCGGTCAGCCATCAGATCTAACAAAGGTTAGACCACCTCCAGGTGATTCTGATATGCGAATTTTGAGAACTTTGGAGTAGATTTATGTGTGTATGTAAATACATCTGTAATCCAAAGTCAGTAGTGATTTATTCATTGTAACTTATATTTGTTTTCTCAATTTTATAGCCTTATACAGAATATATTGGGTACTGTGGTTGTCCAACATTTAAACAGGACTTGTATTCACTAGTATTTTAAATTTGTTACTAGTATTTTACTAGTGTTTGTTTGGCTCACGTTAAATTGTGGTGTGATTTTTATCATTTGTTAGCATTTAGTTTAGCCATTATTCGCATTCTTGTTTAGTGGTTGCAAAGTCATGTGAACATACTAGATTTCTAGAGAAAGCTAAGAGTAGAAGTAGATGAATACTGGATTGAATTACATGAGAATATTTATAGAAATACTCTCAATCCTATCAGTAAGAGATATTAATGATTGGGCTTCTGGATTATCAGTGATATAGAATTATTTTGGTCTTTGATCCTGTTCTACCTGTGTTGTCAATATCATTATTATTATTCACCCAAACATTAGATCTTAATATAGTTGAAGATGGACTTTCAATAAAACATTCCTATTCTTTGAAGATACGGCAGTTTATATTATTGGTAATAGATTTTTAATCTGGCATTTTGAATGTAGCTTTTGGCATTTTGCACTCCAAACTAAAAAAAATGAGGTTATTTTTTAAAAGGAGTTATTATGCAAACATTAAAAAATGTTTCTTGCATAATAACACATTGGAAGGTGACATGTGATTAGAACCTGCAAAGTTGGGAGTTTAAAACTGTGGTTTAAAAAAAAAAAAACCCAGGGGCTGGAGCAATAGCACAGCAGGTAAGGTGTTTGCCTTTCACGAGACCAACCCAGGTTCGATTCCCAGAATCCCATATGGTCCTCTGAGCACCGCCAGGGGTAATTCCTGAGTGCAGAGCCAGGAGTAAACCCCTGTGCATCGCCAGGTGTGACCCAAAAAGCCAAAAATAAAAACAAACCAAAAAAAAAAAAACCCCACTTGACCCTTTTTTTTTTTTAAAAGGCTGTACCAAAAAAGCCTTTTGTTGGAAAGAATTCTAATATGTATTTGGTTACTTAAATTCTGTTCTAGACCATCTTATTTATTCAGCTGATGAGGTCAAGATGCAAGAATTAGTTATATATTCTTAAAAAAAAACCCATTTGTGACTTGTTCACTGTACTTAAAATAACTCAGTGATGCATTGTTAGGATTTCATCTAAATCTGATTTCCAAAACAAAATTTATAAGGCCAACATTACTGAACTTTCTAAATAAGATGAGGAAGGCTGGTTCTCTTCACAGCCACTTTTTAGGCAAGTATCTTCTTTCATTTAAAAAATGAAGATGCAAATGAGAGAGCCTTTCATATTTTCATTGTATGAATGAGGAAATAGGCTCTCAAAGCTTAGGTATTCATCAATATATGGAGTATTGGAGAGAAATGCTTCTTGGCACAGTTTACCCTTCTGTCACGTTACAAATGCAGAAAGAGAAGATACACTTAAGTGTATGGAAATAACTTTGGAAAATATTGTTACATACAAAATTTGATTCCTAGTGTCTTAGAAAGTATTACTAGGTTATACCAAAATGTAGAAATTAACAGTATGATATGTTGCTCTGAAATTTCTTCCCAAACTAGGGTCTTTTGCCACATTATTATGTTTTATTGCTTCTGTGATTGATAAAATTTTATAAATGTATTATTTATACATAAATTTATTTATATGTGTCATCTCCAGAAGTTGACCAAGTAGATGTTAACACATCTTGAGTTTTAATGGAGATAACACGTCTTGGGGTGCTTTTCTTTTTTTATCCTTAAAAACATTACAAACTGTATTGATGATAGTTAATATTTCTATGTATTATGTGGGAAATGACTTATTAATACACTACAAAAATGGAAAATTCATGCACTTTGAAAACACAGTAAATCTTAACTAATCATTTTAATGCTTGCTGTAGTAAAGCATCTGTCTTTATAATTAAAATAGTTTTGAAGTCAAATGATATGTGGAATAGAGAGATATGCTGGGATTTTTTCCCTACTAACACCAATTAAAATTTGAGCACTCTTAAATCAATCATTAATCCCATTAGCATGTAAATATGATAGGAACTGATTCTTCAGTACATAAGTAGTATTGGTAAGAGTAGCGTATGTGTTTGGAAGTCATAGAACTACTTCTGTAAATACTTCCAATTTGGGAAAGGTTAAATTGTTCTTATCCAGTGAAAGTAAATACATCACATTTAATTTTTACTTTTTTCCCTAATATAAATTGTTAGCTGTACCATACCCCTTCCCCCAGCTAAACAATATTATCCTTAAACAGGTAATTTGATAAGTAATATTAATTTATTCTTTGGCAGAAGTACTGACTAGAGCTACATAGTTTTTCTGCACACCTTCTGGTCATAGAATAATATTAATTGCTACATTATTATCCAGTAGTCTAATAGAGATGATTTATTATTGCCTGCAAGGATGATAATTTAAAGGACGTTATGCCCTTTGTCAGGATTTTTTTTTTTCATTTAACAGCTTTCCATATTGTCATCGTTTATCCCATGACTTAAATTTTCTGACAGGTGATCAGAAAATGAACTTTTAGCACATAGAATTTTCTAAAACGTGTACTGCCAAGTAGCCTATGTTTAGTAGTTCAGGTTAGTAGGTTTAGATTTGATAAGATAATTTATTCAGGTTCTTTTGAAGTCTCACAGTTCACAAATTTGTAGTATTTATTGTAAAACTGAAATTTTAGCACTCAGGTTTATTCATGTTATTTGATATTAAACCATACAATATTAAACCACGTATGGAAACTTTAATAGTACCACTTCTATTCAAAAGTAATATTACCCAATGATTATTTATATCAGCCAGATACAGTATTTTCATAAATATATTTCTCTTGAGGATTTGAAGCAAAGGGTATTGATTTCCCCCCTATATTCAGTTGCTTTGTGACAAACCTCCACCATGAAATAAATTGCTGTGAATGCTTAAAAAATTGAGGAACTTAAATTCTAAATGTTTTTGCTGCATTAAAATGTTAAAGTTGTTTATTTGATCAATGTTTAAGTATCAGTTTGTCCTGAAAACTTGAATTGCATTCTGCAAGGTATTTGCACTGACTCATCCTCTTACCTCAGATGTCAATAAATTTCCAATTTATTTTCCTTTCTCATGATTTATGTTGATAGTGGCTTTTTTATGAATGCAGAATGATGTGATGTTTTCTTAAAAAATATTTTAAGTAAAAGCTTGGTACAAAAGGGCCACATACTATATAATTCCATTTGTATGAAATAATCCAGCATAGACTAGTTTACAAAAAAATCAGATTAATGTCATGGAGGTGCTGGGAAAAGAGAATCCTGGGAAGTGATGCTTAATGGATACTGGTTTTCTTGGAATGATTAAAAAAAGAAATAACCCTGTAGAAGTAAGATAGTGATGATGATATGGTACAACATTGTGAAAGTACTGGGTGTCATTTCAGTTGTATGCTTTAGCAAATTTATGGTTTGTATATTTTACCATATTTTATACTGGAGGGTGGTTTGCAGTCATTACCAAGGTGAAAAAGAATGTGCTTCAGGCTTGTGAAATGCTCAAGATAATAAGAGTCAATTTGCAGCATTACTGATGTGACAAATTTACAACATTCTAATGAAAATTCTAAATCCCTTCACAGAATCACTGCTGGCTATAGCAGAAATAAGGTGTAACTCACAATTTTCTTATATTTAATACAAGAGGAAGTGACTTCCACTGTTAGTGTTCATTTTTTAAATCTTTTTTTTTTTTTGGTTTTACTACGATTCTATACCACACATCTTAATCACTTTTTAAAGATGTTTTTAAAATCTTGCTCTAAAAAATTTTGTATCAACTTCAGGGTTTTCTTTTTATAGTTTTGTACTTTGTTTCTTTTAAAGGACAGATGACAATGAACATGAGACTAAATAAAATTGAACTGATGTACATACGTTTTGTATTCTTTTGTCTTGTGGGAGATGCATTGGAATCTTAGCGATAGGTACTTTAGTGATTGTGGGAATAGCGGAGTCTGTCACGGTGTTCATTCATTATTCCCTGAGCACACCCTGGGCTTGATTCTGAAAGCTGTGCCTCACCCGTAGTTACAGAGGGAAGAGGGAATGCGACTTTTCCTTCATCTCCTTTCCCTTTCCTCTTTCCCTTGTTCCTGCTGCTACTGCCACTACCCTTGTATCTGCTAATTGTATCAGCTCCATGGGCAAGTTTAAGAAGGAAAGATTGTAGACAGTGATGCACTTTCAGTGCAAGTTCTTCTTTTAA